TGAAAGGCGGAGCGGCGTCTAGAGACGGCCGACTCAAAATGAATGACCAATTGCTCATGGTGAATGGCGTTTCGTTGCTTGGCCAATCAAATGCTGAGGCCATGTCAACGTTGCGCAAAACAATGGTTCACCTGCCGGGCAAATACCCGAAAATGATAACATTGCAAGTGGCTCGACGAGTCACCAGACCAAACAGTACAATTGAACCGCATGAACTTAGCAATAATTCGACATCAAGTGCCAGCGAACAATCCGGAAAAACGGTTATTTACTTAAGTCCCGATAAAAACAATCAAAACGAATCGATGCACGCAATGAATAATGGCAACTCCAGCTCACAGCGCTCTGTAAACAGGTGGGTTTTAAAAAAAGGTTAAATTGTTTGGAAAAAAGAAATTCAAGTTTGAATTATTTATAGATGGAGCAATCCTGTACTGGATCGTTTGACCGGAGGAGTTGGAAATCATATGAATCCAAACCAAAAATCAAACGGAATGCCACACTTAGCTGTATCGAGTGGTTTACGTAACGAAAGCTACTACATGGCAACGAATGACTCGTGGAGTCCGATGCAAATGAAAGAGAATAATTCTGTCCTTATCGAAGATGATCAGGAGCCATTGGCACCGTGAGTTTGGCTATTAATTATCTTGAAAATTGAATCATTTCAATTTATTAATGTTTTTGAACTATTTTGAACTTTGCGTGGTTTTTCTTGTAGGATATTCAACATGGACAATTCATTGAATCGGACACACGATTCGAATAGCAGTATTCATAAGCAACCAGTATCGCCATCGTCACCAAACCCATGCGAAACGACGTATTCAAGTCAATTGTCGCTTGAAACGAATCCACCAGTCGATCCATTCAGTCGAGATGCCATTGGACGGCGCAGTATGTCTGAGAAACACCATGCGGCGCTTGATGCCAAGGAAACCGACACATATCAACGCAACAAAAAGTTACGCGAAGAGCGCGAACGTCGTACTCGACCGAAAACAATAGCCGGCCTCGGTTCAATGGAGTCCATTGTGAAAGCGGCCAAAAACACTTCGACCAATGGCGATTTGAACCGAGAAGCACTCGATCGAATCACTGATTTGGGTCCATCTCTGGGTATGAAAAAATCATCAAGTTTAGAATCACTTCAAACAATCGTCCAAGAAATCCAATTGTCAGACGAGCCAAGAGGTCCGTCAGCGCTACGAACACCACGTGGCAGAGGAAGAGATGAATTTGTGCGCGCCGAAGTTGAAAGACGTATGTCAATCGAATTAATTTTCTTTCTTATCCAGTTCATTTCACATTCAATAAATCAACTGTCCTTCTTCTGTTACAGCTTCGCGTAAGCACTGGCTACTCGAGAGTAACTCTGGCACAGCCGTTGAGAATGATGACGGTTTCATAAATCGTCACGGGCCATTCCAGAGTTCGTTGAACGAGGGCAAACACAAGCGTGCCAAGAAACCGGGAATTTTGCGTGGCATCGGCCACATGTTCCGTTTCGGAAAGCATCGCAAAGATGGCATCGCTGCCGTCGATTCATTCGATCCAAATGCAACGATGAATCTTACACTCGCATCCAAATCGGCGAACAAAGAAAATAAGTCAACAGTCGCAGCGAACGGATTGAATGCGTCGGGTCGTGGAAAACCACCAAATTACCAGCCACCACCTCCAGTTGCCATTGGCATTCCAGTCGCATCGAATGGAATACATCAGAATGACGTGTTCAATCATCGATACTCACACTATGTCAACTACGATGAATTGCAGCAACAAATTAGGTATGGCTCATCCGTTTTCTACACGTAAAATCAAAAAACAAAATTACAAGTGGCACGTAGATGATCTAACTGTTTAACAATATCAACAATCAACGCACTAATCTATCCTATTAAAATCTAGCTTCATTCTTTCTGCCCCACTAACACACACATTCCTTTCTAATGCTAACACTAGACAATTGCCAATTTATTATTCGATAAAACACAAATAAACCGTAATTTAATCGATTAATTTATTTAATATTTCCATTAACCAAATTGATAAACTTGAACAATTATATGTACGGTATTGCACGCAGTCCACCTCCCCAAAATGAGCAATTATCCGAATCAACGTTAGCTCAAATGCGTCTCCAAGTAATGCAACAAAGGGTTAAGGTCGAAGAGGAAAGGTAAATGAGTAATTTTTATCACATCAGTGTGTGCTGGCTGAACTTAGAAACATATAGAACTGAAACAAAACAAAACAAAACAATCAAAAACTCATCCATTTTGTTCACACGCATTCCCTTTTTACAAATACATGCATTCGTTGGCGTGTTTAGTAATTTTAACTGCGTATGAGAATCGATTGAAGAAGGCTCACAACAGAAGACAATTCTTTTTTTTCTTTTTGAACGAATTTATTTAGCGTAATTTTTAGACCGTTTTTTTCGTTTCCGAACAATTTTCAGTTTTTTTTTTGTCAATTAATTTCTTTTTTGTCTTTGTTAGCTAAAGTTAGTAGTTTAAATGTATTTTTGTGTGTTTTTAAAAAGTAACTTTTTTTATTTGTGTTTAGAATCCAAACATAGTTAGCATTTTGTAATATCAATAATGTTGTTGTTGTTTTTTTTTAGAATTGAACCGAAATGAAAAATTGTTTGTGTTTTTCAGTCACTCATTAAAATAAAACATGATGCGTGAACAGATTGTTCAATTGAGATGCAACAAAATGAATTGATATTTAGATTTAAATAAAAATGAGCCGTTTGAACAGAAGTGAATCGATTCTTGTTTTTTATCGCTTTACGCGTATCATTTTCCCATATCACCACCCCTCGCAACCAATCTCCACCCAGTAAATGAAAACCAGTTGTAAATTTATGTGTAAATTTTGATGTAATTTAATCTGAAATCATTTTAAAAACACCATAATAATCATGCAGCACGATTTTATTGTTTTTTTTTTCTTTGCAATTAACTCTAATTTTTTTTGTTTTCTTTTTTTATTCGTAATTTTTTTTTTCATGTGTTTATGCACCGCACGCTCATAACACCTCATACATGATTTTAATCAATACAAACAAACACGTTTTAATTGTGTGTCACATAGAAAATTGCGTTTGCAGCAAAAGAAAATAACCTTGCAATAGACAATAATAACACAAAAAAAATGATCAAAATTTTAATTGATTGTAAATCATCCAAAAACCAAAACCAATGTACTAATTTACAGTCGGCGACATCAACACTACCATTCGCAACGATCCACCCGAACCGTTGACTTGAACAACCATCATCAGCGGCCGACATCAACATACTATGAATATGAAACATTTCAATACAACGGCGGCATCGGCAACTACAATCCGAATATGACCAGTCCACCATCGAATTTCAACCATCATATCGCGCTGAATGGCAGCCAACGAAAAATTCACAACGGTCAATCACCGCTCAAATATCGATCACCCGGTTCACAAGGCGGCAGCATGCGAAACCGTGGACCATTTGTCACTCAAGTCACCATTCGGGAACATGTACAACCAAACAATGGCCATTCGCCATCAAATGCCGTCATCGCTTCCACATCGAAAGTCTGACAACGGATTTTCAACCAAGAAATTACCATGAATTTAATTTACCCAGCAAGTGTCGTCTAATGTCAGCGTTTATCACACGATTTTTTTTTAATTCATCATAATAATTCTTTTTTCATTTCAGTTGAACTGAATGTAATTTAAGATTAATTCTATATACAATAACAGTCGAGATTATAGCTCTCATTTAACTTCTTATCTCTTTTTTCTTGGGATTATACTTGTGTTAGTTCATTACGACAAACAATAAGAAACAATTTCGCTTAATTTTTTTTTCATTAGCCAAATAGATTGACTCTGTACATAGAAACATTTTGTATTTTGTAAGGCAATACGAAGAAGTTTATTTCTTCTTTTAGAAAAAACCAGAATATTTTCATTTTTCGGCGAATTTCGATAATTCGATACGATTTTACGTACAATCTTTTACTGTACACTCTGAGCACAAAACGCCATTCAATTCAAACTCATTAGAAATGCTGGACTTGACTCAAGAATTTACTTCCGAAATTCAAACAAAAAAACCATTTCCATCAACTAACAACAACAATAAGTTTTATTCGAAAAAAGAAAATCAATTCCAATGAGAAATCGGTTATTTTTTTAAAAATAAAAATGTATAGAATTTTAAACGCTGTAAATTTGCATTTATTTGTAACTAGACAAGTCGATGCGCAGCAACAAATTAAATGTACTTGATTCGTACTTCTTAAAAGAAACATGTAGATAATTATAATGTGCCTATTCGTTGTACTTAAGTTTCTTTGTGTTTTTCTTTATGTCAACAAAATATTAAGAATTTTAAGCCCAATTCATCAAATCACCCCATTCAAAAGTATATTTCATACACACAAAAGTAGTTTAAATCGAACAAAACAACTTAACTCAATGGACATGTACATAGATTTTCGATTTTCCATTTCCCTTGAATAAATAGTACTTATCAAATGAATTTTACCGGTCTTTGACTTTGTGATAATGAAAAATCTATCGATTTTAGTATTTTTTCTAAGGCTGACTCTTATTTTCAGAATCAAATCCAAGGTAAGAATTCAACACTACCATCTGCAAACTTTTGAATTAAAACGACTGATGAACCAAATATATTAACAATATCGCGAATTGATGTATATTTTTCTCTCTTTAATCAACTTTTCTTGTGTAAAAAATTAAATGATTTCTTGGACTACTGGCACATCCAAACCTTATCGGTAATAGTTTTTGCATCAATCTTCAGAACATACTTTAGCGTTAAATACCCCAGCAGAAAAATTATCGTAAAGTTTTTTGGAGCCATACATACTTACAATTTTTTGCGATTATTCTTGACCAAACATGCGAAACGATCACTAGAAAAGGAAGAACCACTACTTGAAGGAATAAAAACATAGGATATTTCGTTGGCGTTTTGCACAAACAAAAATTGTATAGTTTATTCAATATTTATTTATGACAAAACAATGATGATTACGATATGGATATTTCGATTTCCGAAGCCGACCAGAAATGCATCAACATTGTTGGTTATCCGTTTGTAACTCGTCGTTGTTCACGGAGAAGATGCTGTAAATAAAATTAAATTTGGATGTTTTTTATAAATTGTATGTGGTTCGCTAATTTTAACTGGGAAATGTTCACAATTTCACACGGAAACATGTTTTTGTTTTATTCTTTATTGCATTTGCTCACCTGATCATTCGGGTAATTCCATGTTGCGTGACATCTTGGACATTCCTTGGACTCGTTTGGATGATCATTTATAAACTGGTAGTTGCAACACACGTCCGATCCATATTTGCAGATGTAAAAAGCATGCCAACGATATTTAACGGTGGAAGAATTCATGATGTTTTAAAGTTTGCACCAAAATCAAATTGCACTTGCAAATCGATCGTTCACTAGGAGTTTAGAAAAGTTATTTGAAAAAAATTATTGATAATAAAAACCATGTGTTTTAAATTCACTTTTATTCGAACTAGACAGCTAACGAGAAAAACTTACGATGAAAATCAATTGTCGTAATGATAGAACTTTCAACGAGATGATCTTTCACGGTATTCAAAACGAAATTACGTTGGTATAGAAGTTTCCTATAAAGTTATAGCTCCGAATAGAACATTCACCGACTACGGCCAAACCTAGGGGAATTTAACTCTTACGAGTTCAGCATGTTTTTTGCCAGTTTGCTTGATTCGCGGGAGTTCGACGCGTTCCTTGTACGTACTGACGCGCACGGTCACAAGTTTACACAAGTTTGTTTATGGTTTTGCGCGTTTTTCAAGTTGTTATTTGACAATTAAAACGCGTTTCAAGCTAAAAATCGGTTGTTTACGTGTATAAAGATTTTTCACATCCTTTCCAAAAGTTCAAAGATTTATATAATTATAAAATGGACAAAGGAAATATTTTTAAAGAGCTGGAGAAAGTGTTGGAAAAGTTAATCCAGATATAATAAATGGAACGACTGATGTGTGCGCGTCGTCCAGCTACAAGTTTGCACACGAACTCGCGCGCGTTCGCGCATGTTGTTTTAATACGGAACTTGTCAACTGAGTGGAATCATGCAAGTTCTCTGGTGAATGTAACTATTTCGTGCGCGTTTATATCATTTTTTTACAAGTTTTCACGTAGTTAAATCCCCCTAGGGCCAAACACAGAATGATGAGATCAAGTGACTTGCCAAAGAACATCGATACGTTTGACTGCTTCGTCATTTTGGATGAAAATTGCTTAGAAGACAGTTTAAATCTGCATTCACATCAGAAATGATTGAGACTTGAGTTTATCAGAGACAAATAACTTGTGCTCCATCCGCTCAAAACTCATGTTTATATTCATTTGAAATTCGGTTAAACAATTGTGTTGTAAATATTTTTGGTTAAAATCACTTATCGGTCTGGATACTTGGCAAATCAAGTGAATTGCTTATGGCTTTTTTCTCCCATATATTTGTGTTATATCGTAAACATTTTTTTTTCATATAAATAATGATAAAAACCAAATCCGAAGTGATCGAAACGAACGTATTTTTTGATTTGATTAGTGCTTTGAACAGAAATATGGGAATGTACCGCAATGTGAACTGACATTTGGACGCTATCAATATTATTTCGCATATTTTTTTATGAAACGTTTGACGAATCTTGCCACTACAGAAAGATTCAAAGCTTATTGTTAAATCCGTTGGTTTCAGGTCATTTTTGATATAATTTCCTTTTTAATTGCAATTGGCATTACTGAAATTAGTTTGACCGCAATAGCATGTTATTGATATTAAATTGATGAAATGAATTTATTACTGGGAGTAACGATAAATATCTTTTCAAGTTTTGAATTGCGTTTAGCCATACTGTACCTATTGGATTTCCTTTTTATTGGCATTTGCATAATTGATTATCACTCTCCAGTCTATATTTAACACTGAAATCACAAGTAAAAATTCAAATTGGCCCATACTTACAGCTTTTTTTCAAATTATTCTCAATAAAACCAATTTGCGAAGTAATATAGCAGTTGCACATCTAGAAATTTGAATGAATTAAAACAACGATATTTCGTTGGCGTTTTGCACAAAAAAATGTTTAATTTATTAGCAAATGTTGATGGCAAAACAATGATGATTCTGATATTCATATTTCGACTTGCGACGCTGAACAATGGCCATTGATGATCAACCGTTTGCATCTCACCACTAATCACGGAGACGTTTCTGTAAATAACAGTAGAAAAAAATCATTGAAATATGAGTAAATTTCAAGTTGTTTTCTTTTCAAAATTGAGTAATTTATAAAATCGTACAAAAAGTTTGTTCGTTTCTTATTTGACTAACTCACCTCGTCTTTTGGATAATTTCCCAATTTACACTTCGGACATCCCATCAACTGATTTGGCATTTCGTTTATCGATTGGTATCGCGTATACTCTTTGTGGTAGGAACCGCCGCCACCATTGCAGATATAAAACGAGAGCCAACGATATTTATGAAGCCGGTCTTTTTCGTTGACACTCTTCTTATTAGAGGAAGAATCCATGATGTTCCGAATTGTGCACACGTGCAACTACAACCAATATGTTCGATGAACTATTTGGCCGTTTCAGATTGCTTTCGACCATTCGTTCGTATTTATCACTTGATTTTCAATCGTTCCGAAAACTGCACACCACAACGAAAACGATTGAGACTTGAGTTCATCAGAAATAAACAAATTTGCGCTGATGCCATGTCCAGAAATCAACAATTGATTTTGTTTATTTGAAAACTTGAATTGATTACATTATTTTAATGTAAACGTGTTGATTCGCATATTCCCATTTCAGTCTCGCAAGTTGACGAATCAAGTGGAGTGTTTTTGGTTTTTTTAACCCATATAGTATGATTCTTTTCGAAACAAAATTCTTGATGTGAATGATGATAAAAATCAAAGTGAAACTGATGAAAAAACTGTATAACATTGTTACAGTTTATGTTTTTTTTTTGTCTTTGAACGAAGAGCAACAATGCAACTGTATAACATCTTTAGTTATAATAATAATGATATGTTTTACAATGTCAAATATAAATAGCGTAGCGCAATATCATTTAAACACAGTCAATATTCTTTCGCTCATTGTTATGATTCCTCATTGGCTTATCTTGGAAAAGAATTTTTGTTTGGTTTAATGTGATGAGTAACGAAACAAATTCTTATTTTGCTGGTGCAATAATGGAGAACTCAATAATTTTATACATGAAATCAACAAAAAAGAACAACTAAATTCAAATTTCTTACTTTTTCCCCGTAAAATGAGATGTTCGTGTGTATCGCTGCCAAAAATACTCATTTCACTGTTTGATGCAGGGGTTTCTTAAGAAAGAAAAATTTACTTTTGTTTCAAAAAAAATTTCATAACTATAATGGGCTATATTATGCTAATTTCTGTACATGAAACACCCAAACGGCGGTGGAATTTTACGAATAGATCTACATGGTATACTTCGCCAAAAAATTATCTATGACATTTTGCTCCTGTGAGCGCCAACGCCAACCAGCAATCAAATGCATAGTTCACATGGCTTTTCACCGAAGCACGCATGACATTTGGTTTATAACACATAGAGACAAATCGATAAGAGAATTTAGAAGATAAAACAAAATCATTTATTTGGTGGATATTTTATTCAAAGATGAACTTTTTTCAAGAATTTTGTTTAACCACGTAGTTCTATCCTCCTTTTTTTCATTTTTGAAACATTTTTCAACAAGTGTGAAGCATTAGCTTATTTGCCTGTCATTGAGTTCTTAGTAATCGTAAAATTGCGAGAAGTATGTGAAATGAGAATAATTGTTTAAAACGTAATTCTATTCATAACGTGCTAAATAAATAATAATAAAAGGACAAGCATTTTGATCAAATTCAACTGACGAAATTGAGCAAAAACATTACAAAAGAGTAGATTTTGTTCGTGATCTAAGGATTAAAAAATGACATTCAATAAATTGCATGCATTTTGGTAGATTAAAAAACTTACAAAATTGAAAAGTGCACGATTGATGCTGCCAAATGGGCCGACTGTGATGCAACACATATTATATGTGTGATATGTATTGTGTAAGGTTTCAAAGTGCGTGTCAATTCGTTGCTTCTGTTTCCGGTTAATCAAATGCATAATATCCTTTTGGGTAGGTTATACCATTCACAATTGTATAGAATCTCGGAGAAGCCATCATTCTAAATACAACACACATTAATGTAATGAGGTAATCGTCATGAAAATTGCATTCTGGCCAACCTCAACACTCTCGCCTAATTCACAGACATAGAACATCTTCACATAGTTCAATAAAGCCATACCATAGCCAGACCAAAATACCCAACTGAAATGCATATTTTACTCACATTTGAAAACAGCCTTTCATTCTATGTTTTTTTAATTTACCTTGAATTGGCAGAATAAAGCCAATCCAATGGCATATGTGAGAAACGATGGTGTTATCAATTTTAGATAGTAGAACACCTCTCCGAGATGATTCAAGTAGTTGTGTTAAAATGTAGGATTAAAATGGGCAAATAGTCCGAGTAAAATCAGATCACACCTATCAGAATCTAAGCATTTTACTACGATGTTTTTGAAAACGTACAGCAATTGGCATTCGGTAAAACTGTGCACGTTTTCGTTTAGTTTCCTAAATTCGAGCTCAACAAATTTGGGAACAATCAAAACGACGTCACTAAAAAGTGTCATCGCAACTTCAATGCCAATATATCCAATGAATCCGTGGCATCCAATAAAGCTGGTGATTGCAATGTTCGCAAAGTATTCAACATTTGAAAATGGTTCAGTGAATGGGATTTTAAGTTCGGTCATCGTTGTTCGTTCATCGTGAATGTAGTACGCATACATTGGTCCAATCACTGTACAATTCAAAGCAAGCCACATTATTGCCATTTCAATCGCAAAACGTGGGATCGTTTTATCGACCATATCTTATTGTATGCGGTATTATCCTTGTTAGTATTAGGATGAATGTATCGGCCACCAAAAGAAATCATGCAATTTAACATATCGCACTTTTCCGTGAGAGATACATAGGCTAAGGGTGCGCTCTGGAAATATTTATCAAGATTGATATTCTTCATTGATCATTCTGTGTGCTGTGAACCGATTTGAAACGTACACAAAAAAGTGGCCCAAATGAGGAGAATAGTGCATGGTAGAAATGCTTGCCAGTTCCCTTGAGGTAGTCAGCAGTGTATAATACTAAAACAATTTCCAATCCAGTATACATGCAACATACATAAGAATGCCAATGATAGGCCCTTTTTTCTCGGAATACTGGAAAGCCCAACACGCTAAGGCAAATTCTGTCAATACCATAGAGATAATACCATTTCTGAAGTGGCGTCTTCAAACCCCATTCCGATCTGTTGATCGTCATTTTGAACGACTCATAGAGTGAAGGTACAACGAACGTTTTATTCACAACCATTGTTTATTCAGATGTTTTTTTTGCCTGTAAAATGTAAGCCTTGGTTATTCACTACATGAATATCATTTATATGTTTGAAACTGAATCACTCGATAAAAATTCAGTTAATAAATAAAAGTATTTTTATATAAAAAGTTTGAATTTAAATTTTTACTTAAATTGTACT